AAAGATGGGACACCTTCTGTACACAAATAAACTCAAAAACAGATCCCAAAGATTTCTGGTCCCATATAAAGCTACAAAGTCAAAGAAAACAATTATCACCACCTGCCCTAAACTTAAACATAATAATAAACTAGCATACACGAAAAAACAGAAAGTACACGCTTTTAAAGAACAACTCCAAAAAACATTCAAAACACCAGACGACTCAAACATGAACAACCACTTCATGAACATAATAAATAATTATATCACAACCAATCGTACTATATATACACCACACTTCAATAAGGACACTCAACGCAATAGCACAACAACAGAAGCAGAATATTACTACACAACAAAACAACTTATCAAACCCATCACAGTAGCAGAAACACAAGAAAACATAAAACTTTTGAAAAAATAGGGAACCAGGACAAGACATAATTCAAAACATATAATTCAAGAAAGGCCCTATGAGATTATTAGAACATCTCACATCATTACACAACTTATCTCTAAAAACAGGATACATACCAAACGCTTGGAAACAGGCCGATGTTCTTATGTTCCAGAAAGAAGGAAAACCAGCGAATAACCCGAAAACTATAGACCCATAAGTCTAATAAGCAATCTAGGAAAATCAGTTGAAAAAATTATAAGTAAAAGACTCATAAATTACCTTGAAACCAAATCAATACTCCCGGAAATACAAGATGGCTTCCGAAAAGCAAGACAAACAACAGATCATTTGATAAGATTAACAGAAGAAATAATAATAAACAAAAAACAATGTAAAGTTACATGCTTCCTAGATGTTGAAAAAGCATTCGATAAAATGTGGCACAACGGACTCAGATACAAACTGGGATTCCCCATAGAAATTATTCGCTGGGTTTCTAACTTCATGGAAGATAGGAGCATCAGAGTAAATGTTGAGGGCACCTACTCCGAGTGCTGCACTCCGGAGACGAGTGCCCCTCAAGGAGGAGTACTTAGCCCTACACTGTTTATCATGTTTGTCAGCGACATACCTGTCAAAGACCCAAACTACACATTCTTCTCACAGTTCACAGATGATGTTGCAATATGGTAGAGTGCCCTAAACCCAACAACATACAATATACACTCACTATTAAACGAAATAGAATTCTACTTTAATAAATTCTACTAAAATTAATGTGCACAAAACAAATATCATATTATTTATAATATCGTACAAAACAAGAAATTAATACCACAGTTATATCTAAACGGGACTCTCTTACAGGTAGCAACATCAACCAAATTCTTAGGGATTATATTTGACTCAAAATTAAACTGGATACCACATATTAATAGCATAAAAACTAGAATTTGGAAAAAAAGCGAGTTATCTTAGTAGTCTGACTGGCAACAACCAAGGAGCTTCACCAGAAAACATAAAAATTTACAGAACATACATAAAACCAGTCCTAGAATATGACTGTATAACATGGATAAATGTATCAAAATCACACGTCAACAAACTACAGTAAATACAAAACTATATTTTAACGAAAGTATATAAAGTTCCACGATCAACAAACTCAGAATTTCTACACAACTATTCAAACATGCCAACTCTATCAAACTCCTGGATAACTCGCTTCAATATTATAAGAAAAATATTAATGAAAATGAACTGATGAGCAAACTTTTTAAGTTACATGATGAACCAAGCCCTAAGTACCTCTCCTCTCTAAACATCATAAAGTTGAAACTTACTGGCCAAATAGTGCTAGGCTAACTGAATCCTAGACACAAACGTAGCTCTATTTTAAAATGGTTTTGTATGTAAAATTAGGATTAGGTGTGTGAGTGTGTGTGTGTATGACTACTAAGTGGAACTGTGTTGTGAACACGGACTAATAGTGCGATCATACATAAGTGAAACTAGTGAAAATATACGAGTTAATATTACCCCATGAATTGGGCATGGCATGAAAATTGCGAACAATGGACAAAATGTAACATACTGTGAGTAATGCAACAACATAACAGGGTTAATACCAAGGATTCAGTAACAGTTCAAACAAAATAACAATTCCTGAGAGGGAGGAAGAGGTCAACGCTGAACCTGACCCCCCCCCGGTCTGATGAAGAAGAAGAAGAGAGTTGGAGACGACGATAACCTAACAAAACTTTGCTCTCATTTTACTCACTCCTTACAAGCATTTTTTTTTCCATTTTAAAAAGTTATTAGAAACAGATAAAGAAAATGTTGATTTTGCTGATATCACTTGCAAAAATTATTTTAATTTAAAGGGGGCGCAATGGAAACTTTGCTGACTTAGGAGGACGCCCCTATTTAAAGTTTGGAAAACACTGAATTAGGCCCTTTGCTCGCTGTAACTTTCGAGTTGAATCTGACTTAAGAAGGTCACTTCGTGACTAAAAACGTGTGTCAAAAATTAGGTAAAAGGAATTGTTTGACTAAATTATCTATAGTACCTCATCGCCCCCAGAGGCACAGCGGTATATCTGCGGACTTACAACGCTAGAAACTGGATTTCGATACCCGTAGTGGGCAGAGCACAGAGAGCCCATTGTGTAGCTTTGTGCTTAACTTCAAAAACAAACAGTACCTCATCATAACGTGCTATTAAATACTGTGATGTTCCTTACTTACCTTTAGCGTTTGAAACCTGAGAAAAGCAATCCGAATTTTCATCCTTGCACGTATTTTTCTGCATGAGATCTGTGTTGCACAAACCTGTTTCCAACGGATTCGGATAAAGTCGGATGCGGAATTTTGTCCCTTCGCCACAAGATGAGGTACAAGGTGACCACTCAGACCAATGAAATATCGCACACTTGGAATTCTTCTGAACAAGCAACAGAAAGAAAGATATTTTTGAACTGTTATATATTACAGATTTGGCTTCGTTTCGTTAACGTGAACTGGAAATATCATGATTTAATATATTTTAAAAGAAAGCACAAGCGGAGGATTGTAATTCGTCTGAAACATTTTAACGGACTTCAACTATATTGAAGCTTCCTAGAGATGTGACGTTTCGCTCTCTTAACACTGACCTGTTCATCAGTTATTAAATATAGTACTTATAATAACAATGTAAATATGAAACTTCGAAATCGAACATAATCTGGAAAAGTTTTTTATTATTATTCTAATTTCGAGTTTAAGCTTACAAGGAGAGTTTTCAAACATCGTTTACTTATAAACGTATAATTCAGTATCAAAGCGCTGATGTTTTGACAATGAAATATTTGAAATAAACTTTCTGTTAAAACAAATTAAAATCTTACCCTATTTGTCGATGTACGGCGCACACTCGTTTATTAATATCATATATGTTTTACAAAATTATTTTGATCTATTTTTTTCCCTGCTGGCGTATTCTAGTGATTAACGTGTCGGCCTGGGTATCGAAAAGCCAAAGGTTTGTGCTACGACATGCTGCTGATCGCCGTTCATATTTTCAATTGTTGGAGCGGTTATAATTGTGACATTCATTCCCACTATATTCGGTTAAGAGTAGCCGCGTAGATGGCGGGTGCTATAGCCTATTTGCCCTTCTTCTAAACTATGGATGACTATTGCCTAGACCACAGAGGTCTCTGACTTGCCCGTTTATACCTTTTGTTGTATAACGAATAATGTTAAAGAAAAGTATTATAAACATAAGAACAGAGTTGGTCAAACGAGAAATTAGGAAAGCAAAAAGCATATGAAAAAAGGTTGGCTGAAAATTAATACTAAGGATTTTTTCAAATACACTAAGGGTGAGTAAAATGTTAAAATTGGAGTAGGGTCTTTGAGGGATGATACAGAAAGGCTAATATCTGATGATTATTGGATGGATGGTTTATTAAATTCTACTTTTTTAGCATGGTTTCACTTGGAGAAGCTCCCCAGTGGCCCAGCGGTATGTCTGCGGACATACAACGCTAGAAACAGGGTTTCGATACCCGTGATGGGCAGAGCACAGATAACCCATTGTGTAACTTTGTGTTTAACTTCAAACAAGCAAACACTAGGAGAAAATTTTGACTTAGTAATCTTTTGATATTCCTTAAACCGTTTACTGCTTACGTAGCTGAGGATACGAGGGTGTATTTGTTGCATCTGGATTTTCAGAAAGAATTTGACAATGTATTACACAAAAGGATTGTTAAAAAGCTATATCTGTAGGTGTGAGGGATAGGTTGGCTTACTGGATAGAAAAATGCCTGGATGGAAGAAACCAGAGATGTTATAAATGGGGCTCAGTCAAACTGGATTAATATCACAAGTGGGGTACCCCAGGACTCAATGTAGGACCTTTGCTCATTTTGATTTACATCAATGACATGGATGAAGGAATGGTCAATAGATTATTTAAATTTGCTGATGATATCAGAGTTTTGGGTGTTGCTGACTGTGAGGAGGATGTTACTGATTTACAAAAAAAAATGGTTTGTTTGGTGAGTTGGGTGAATAAATGACAGATGACTTTGAATTATAATAAATGTAAGATAATGCATGTAAATGTAAGATATCACAATTTGAATTATGGGCATTATTTTGATGGGAATAACCATAACAGTCTTATGGAAAAAATATATTGCTTTTCTGTTTCATCAGTCTCTTAAGACATTCAAGCAATGTGTTGTTGCTAATGGCAGATCAAATAGGATTTTAGGTTGTATCTACACAAATATTGAATAAAAGTCTAAAGAGGTTATAATATCAATGAATAGATTATTGGTTAGACCACACTTGGAGTACTGTGTTCAGTCTTGGGATCCTTAACTTAGAAAGGATGTTGAATTGCTGAAAGGGATTCAGAGGAGGACTACTAGAGGGTTGTCATACAAGGATTGGTTAAGAACTCTGAACTTATCAAGGAGAGTTAGAGAGCATATGATTGTGGTGTTTAAAATTGTTAAAGGATGTGGTAGTGCTGAGGCATAATCTTTATGGTTTTTAAACGTGAAACTATTAAGATAAGTATAAATTTTGGCAGAGTAAGAGTCATCTTCAGCTAACACAGCTTACTTCTTCTGAAAGGGTGGGTGGCCTTCGGAACGGGTTGCCTTCAGATGTGGTAGATGCAGTTAATTTAAGGATGTTTAATGGAATGCTTGATAAGTATTTGAATGATAAGAGATGATTTTAGTTTTTTAATGTTTAGTTTATTGTTTATAGAACAGAACGGCCTAGATGGATCAAAAGGTGCCTTGTTGTCTTTTAATGTTATGTTACCTTAAGGTGCCGTTCAGGTTGAAAATGCCAAATACTGCCTTACTTTTTTGCTCGGTATAATTGAGTTTAATATTTCGATCATAGTGAAATAGCATCAGATACTAAGTATTCAGACGATTACTCTCGGTATTTGTATTTGATATCATCATAGCTGAAAACTAACCTAAATGGAGCTCAAATGGCTCACAGGTAATAATTAATTTTTGATTTATAAGCAGGAATATCCGTCTGCTCATATGTGATAGCGATAAGTTCGAAGCGCTTTGAGGAAGGAATTTCAGCAATGTTTCGAAGGTGGTATATAGTTGCTATAGATTGTTTCTTTTTCCATTTTATTGTACTTTATTTTGCATATATATATATATATGAATACATATAATTTGAAGGTTAAAAGAAGAAAATGGCCGACTAATCGTCTTCGTCAGTGTTTACAATGTAAGTTTCAACAGTAAACTGAACTAGGCACGCTTTTTTAAGTGTGAAAGTATAGTTTGTGAATAGTAAATATTTAAATTGTTTATATTATGCTGTTTAGATTAAAGTGTTATTTCAATTAGAAGCTACTTACTGTATAAAATTTAGGGCTTACCTCACAGCTAATAGATTCCGAACACGAGCGCTGTTCCAGCAGGTCTTTCCGACAAATTTTGAAAGCTTTGGTATTGAGGTAGTTTCTACGACGTGATCGTGAACCAATTCCACAAGTCACGCTACATGTTGTCCAGTCACTCCAATTGCTTGTTTCGCAGCTAATATTCCTGAAAGTGTTAGAAAACGTTGTACCTACTGGTATTGTCAGTGCATTTTAAACCACTAATTGTAGTTACAACTAGTACCATGTTCCTTATGTTTTAAATCACTAATTGTAGTTACAACTAGTACCATGGTCCTTATGTTTTAAAACACTAATTGAAGTTACAACTAGTAGCATGGTCCTTATGTTTTAAACCACTAATTGTAGTTACAACTAGTACCATGGTCCTTATGTTTTAAAACACTAATTGTAGTTACAACTAGTACCATGGTCCTTATGTTTTAAGTCACTAATTGTATTTACACCTAGTACCATTGTTCTTATGTTTTAAATCACTAGCTATAGTTACACCTAGTACCACTGTTCTTATGTGTTAAATCACTAGCTAAAGTTACAGCTAGTAACAACGTCATTATATCTTATAACATTATAGTTCAACTAGTATCATTCACGGTACTTCTTAAAACTTTACCTATAGATACAGCTAGTACCATTGGCAGTATGTTTTAAAACTCTAATTATTGTTGCAGTTCGTAGCATTATCAGTATGTTTAAAACTTTTAGTATAGCTACATCTAGTATCATTGTCAATATATGTTTAAACAGACTAATCCAAGTCTTTTAACCGAAACGATAAAGACTAGTAAACAACTTCCTTTCCAGACTACCATAAATAGCCATACATAATAACGGTATTCATATGGCTAAAAATCATGCATTCTATAAAAATAAAGGTCTAACTTAATGTATCACATCGAGCTAAATAAACATGTTGTATTCGAAGAAAACAACTGGGTCGGTAATGGCGACTAAATGTCAAAGGTCAAGTTAAACATAAATATCAAATAAACGATTCATTCTGTAATTTTTGGTCAACGACCTGTATCTTTTGGTTACCGTACATTTCCTGGATAGTGTAAAATTAACGTAACTTGGATAGAAGCGATTAGATGTAACAATCTCCAACCTTAAACACGCAGCCACCTATAATTAAAATCACATTTTATTCATCTGAAACTCTAGGTTTTATGCATGAGAAATCCTATGTTATAAAACAACGGCAAACTTTATTATACATGAGTAAAATCATATTTCAATCAACAAAAACACAGTTTTCTTGTGTACGAATAAAATCATATTTCATTCATAAACGGTACAATTTTATTATACATGGTTAAAATCATGTTTCATTCAGCGAATGTAAAACTTTATTATACATGGTTAAAATCATGTTTCATTCAGCGAATGTAAAACTTTATTATACATTAATAAAATCATGTTTCATTCAGCGAATGTAAACTTTATTATACATTAATAAAATCATGTTTCATTCAGCGATGTA